AAGATAAGAGCCTATTTGATAGCAACTTTTGTCCTCTTGTTGGCGTATTATGCATGTCCCCTTCATGGATTAACTGTAATAGAAAAAGGGGATTTGAGAGCAACTCCTTCTATTTCGATACGGCTTTATGGGCAATCAGTTCCTTGTCCAGTAACTATGTCACTTTCTTTTCATGAAGTTGAATGTGGGATAATTGCTGCAAGCCCTTCTCTTTCCTTCGACTATTGATCGGATTAAGTGTAAGAAAGAAGGTAAGGAAAACAACTATTGTCGTACTCCATACACACTCTTCAAATCAATTCCAAGTTTTTGGATCAGACATGTGTCACCCATCTCTTCCCCATTACCAAGTACCTTGGATTAGTAGCCATGGCCTTAAAGATTTGATCTTTCATGCAAAAAAAATTAAGAAATTTTTCTGTAGAATTGTGATTAAGTTATTGTTTTGAAGCAATGGATTCTATTTGGTTATTTTATATGTATGTCCCTTGAATGGTATGCAATTAAAATCAATGATTGAAATTGCTGTATATGATATTTGGATTGTTAGTGTTATTTTTTATATTAAGGAGGGCACAAGTTGTATTGCATGTGATGTTATCACTTGGTTTTTTGTATAACTTGGGCTCTATTATTTATTACTTCTGAAAAAACAGCTTTTGACAATAGAGTAGGATTGCCAATTGCACCATTGATCTATGGTTGTTTTGTGATTTTGCTCATGACTTGTTATTTCGTATGTGTTGTCCAATTTGTTCGACTGTAGAAGCAAGATTTAGGGTAAACCTCAAGACCTTATGTGAGACTCTATTATGGAGATAGAAACCTCAAGAGAATGGTTGATCAAGTTTTAATTTTACAATGGTGCGCACACAACGAATGATGGTGTGCTGCTTCTTGCAGGAAAATTGGAGAAAGGTATTGTTATGAGGGCCATTTGTGGTGGTTTTAAGGAACCAACTGAGCTAGCTATTTGTTTGAGTGGTGGTAAGTTTTAATTTTAGTCTGATACTAATTAGGGAAAATGTGTTACACTTATTGGGTCATATATAGTTTTTCTGGTGCAACAATTGTTTAATTAAAAATATTATTTTTCATTTAAATTATTGAATCATATTATATAACATGAAATTATTTTTTTGTATTTTATTTAGGGTAATTTTTTTATGTCATAGTACAAAAGATGGAAGAGAGTAGTCAAAAGAAATCAGAGAGCTCTTTTTCTCAATTGAACGTCGTTGAGGTAATCTCCTTGTAATTTCTTTTTATTCAGTAATATGATTTTAATCTTTCTATGGTATTATTTCTACCTTTTTTAAGTATCATTATATTCTAATTTTGGCTATTATTATATCAATAAATTAGGATAATAATAAACAAGAAACAGTTGATACAAGAAGTGCAGAAGAGGAATGGAAGCCTAGGCCTGGAATGGCTTTTGATTCATTTGATAAGCTTTTCCAACACTACAAAAACTATGGGAATAAAATGGGTTTTGAAGTAATTATAAGAACTTCAAAGAAAGGAGATAATGGAGAGGTAAGATTTGCGACAGTGACTTGTTCTCATAGTGGGAAGTCAAGCAATAACTCTAGAAATGCCTTTAAAATGCATCCCGTGACAAAAACTAATTGTAAGGCTCAGATTGGTGCATCTGTACGTTCTAACAAAAAATAGCATATATGTTCAGTAGTCTTTGATCATAACCATGAACTCAGTAGTCCTACCAAAACTAGATTTTTCAAGAGCAATCGCATAATACAACTGTATGTGAAAAGGAAGCTAGAAGTGAATGATAGGGCTGGGATTAGGCCAAATAAAAACTTTCATTCCTTGTTAGTTGAAACAGGTGGTGCTGAGAATTTTCTTTCCTATAGAAAGATTGTAGAAACTACATTGAAAAAGTTAGGAGACTCCGACTTGGTGTTGGAGATGCTTCTGCAATCCAAGCATATTTTTTGAAAATGCAAAATGAGAATTCAAATTTCTTCTACATCATGGATTTAGATGAAGAGGGTAAATTAAAAAATGTTTTATGGGTGGATGCAAGAAGTAGGGCCGCATTTAAAGAATTTGGTGACGTTGTAACATTCGACATGACATATTTGACCAATAAGTATGATATGCCGTTTGCTTGTTTTATTGGTGTTAATCATCATGGCCACTCAATATTGTTAGGTTGTGGGTTAGTCTCCAACGAGGACACACAAACATTTGTATGGCTTTTTCAATCTTGGCTCGCATGTATGCTGAATTGTGCCCCTAAGGCAATAATCATTGATCAAGATAAGGCAATGCAAAATGCAATCGAGATTGTGTTCCCTAGTATACGACATAGATGGTGTTTGTGGCATATAATGAAGAAATTGCCTGAAAAGTTAAGAGGTTATAGCCAATATGAACATATTAAGTTTTCTTTGCAGAATGCCGTGTATGATTCATTGACATGTGAGGTGTTTGATGAACGCTGGAATAGATTCATTGATAAACACAACCTTCACGATAATGATTGGTTACTTGGATTGTATAATGAAAGACGAAGTTGGGCGCCGGCTTTTGTAAAAGATACTTTCTGGGCAAGTATGTCTACTACTCAACGTAGTGAAAGCATGCATGCATTCTTTGATGGATATGTTAATTCAAAAACCACTTTAAAACAGTTTGTGGAACAATATGAAAATGTATTGCGTGATAAAGTGGAAAAAGAAAGGAAGGCTAATTTTAAATCTTTCACATCATGGATCCCTTGCATAAGCACTTATGCTATTGAGAAACAATTTCAAGATGCATATACCATTGGGAAATTTAAAGAGTTTCAACAAGAGGTTGCTGGTAAGCTCTATTGTGATTTATGTTCTTCCAAAGAGATTGATTCTTACACGGAATTTATAGTAGAAGAAGATGTTGTGGTTGGAGAGCCTCACCGTCGTGATCCTTTTGTTGTTTTCTTTGATGAAGCATCTTGAGATATTCGTTGCAACTATCGATTGTTTGAGTTTAGAGGAATTTTGTGTCGACATGCAATTACAGTGTTGACACGTAAGCAAATTTCCCAAGTACCAGAAAAGTACATTTTAAGGCGGTGGAGGAAAAATATAATCAGATGGCATACCAAGGTTAAGATAAGTTATAATAGTTGGAGCACCAATGTTGAAGGAAAACGATTTAATTAGTTGTGTAATTCGTTCACTAAGGTAGCAGATTTGGCATCAAGTAATGAGGATGATTGTAATATGGTGATGCAAATGATCAATGATATGGAGAACAAATTGATGTCACATCAAAGTGTTGGCGAGATTGATAAAGGACTAAACAAGTCATCTAATAGTACAACAAATTGTGAAGATGTTGGCGGTACTTCCAAAGAGGGTAGCAGTAATATTCTTACTCCATGGGTTCTTCGCAACAAAGGCCATCCGCCATTCAAAAGAAAACAGTCGAAGGTTGAACAAATTGTTCGTAAAGCCAAAAATAAGAAATTACGAAAGTTGGAAATTGCTATGAGCTAATCTCATACTTGGATTTAACGAAGTATCTCAGGTATGTACTGTATTTATGTTTCTTTGTTTAAGTTGATGTTTCAACATGTATGTGAATCGTGGAAATGTATGGAGCTCAAGATTGTTATTTTAGAATCACATGTACTATATGTGTGTGTGTAAATTTCCTAGTCTACTAACATTGTTGAGTTCTTGTTGTATCTTGCACAGGTATCAGAAGAACATAGAGATCAGGAGGCTAGATGTTCATTTTCATCAGCTGAAGGTCATCAGCTCCATTGATTTGGATACCGTTCGGATACAGTTTGACTATGTGTTCAAACTTAAAACTGGAGTAATTAGATTGCTTAATAGTCTTTTTTATGTGCCATTTTTTTATGCATAGTTCATTGATTTGGAGACATTTTGCAGGACTGGTGGACAGAGTCCAATTGTACATGTACCTTGTGCAGAAGCAATCAGCAGCAAGAAGCTGATATTTTGGAGCTCTCTCGGACTGATTTTGACTTGGCAGATTGTACAAATTGCCACTTAGTGATGCTTATACTAGAGACAAATGTATAGCTTTTGGTTGCTCCTTTTTGTATAAGGGTGTATATCTTTTTGTTTGCTTTTACTGTAAAAGGGTGTATATCCTTTTGTTTGCTCTCATTTTGTTTTTTGCTTAATCCTTTGGGCCTATCCAAAGGATTTAGTTTTAAAGGGGAGTCCCCTTGTTAGGTTGTCATAATTTTTTATTCTTTTATAAAATTTCCAGATTACCAAAAAAAAAAAAAAAAAAAAAAAAAAAAAAAAAAAATCTTGCTGGAACCATCAACTTGCAGTCTTTCTCTAGTTTGTTGGATGGGAAGCTTGGACAATTTTCTACTCAGCTGCAGAATTTGAGAAGCTGTAGTCTTCCCCAGTTTGTGCAGAATTTGAGAACTGTAGAATTTGAAAAAATCAGCTGTAAAGATTCTTGAGGATGTTAGGATGGACTCGAAAGGTTTAGGATGGAATTTGCTGTTTAGGATGAAACTGGAGAAAAAAATCAGCTGTGATGATTCTTTCATGAATTTTTATTTTCTTTTATGTGAATCATATGGTTTCTGTGTATTTTCGCTTTTTCTTTTATGTGAATCATATGGTTTCTATGTATTGCACATGATCAGTAATACATTCTATGGAAAATTTTCTATTTTTAATTTTTGGTGCCAAAGCAAGCCAACTTTTCCTCTTCACACTGTGATGGTAGAAATCATGTGTATCTGCTTTAATTAATTGTAAACATTAAAGATGCAGTTTTTTTATTGGGTAAACTTGATAATTTTATTAGAAAATAAACGAATTACAACCTAAAAAGGGACTGCCTTTTAGAACCGTGAACCTTGGCCATGCCCAGGGATTACTACACAAAAAGGAACATGAGCAACAGAAAGTAACACAAAACACGACAACCAAACTGATGACTTCACCCCGAAACTGCAGAAAATGCAGCAATCGTTGTAGCTCCTAACACACACCATGCAATCACTACTTCAATTCCAGCACACAACACCCTGCACATACTGCCCAAGACTCCTGGAACTGCAGAAACAAACTGCAATCTGCACACCTGCTCAATCTGCACAGTGGCAAAACAAGTTTTCTCAATTTCCACTATGGCCTTTCAAGTTTTCTCAATCTGCACACCTATTCAATCTGCTCAATATGAAGGCCGAGAGTAAGTTGATTCAACCTCATCTTAGCATGACTAAATAATTTCAAAGTTCAATATTGGTGGTGTGCATTCAACTTCCAACTAAAAATAATATGTTCTAACTTGGTTGAAGCAAAACATGGAAGCAAAATAAAATTCTATTAAGCCATAAGCTCCACACAAGACGCACCATATGAAGGTTTGGATTCTTGTCACAAACTAAAATAACCGTCTACTCATCACATCCAGGTGCTACCATGCTTCCTACAAAACAATACCTAAATTCTAGCAGGAAAAGAAAAATAAATAAAAGGCCTTTAAATCACTACTTTCCAGATCAAAACTTGCAATTATAAAATTAAAAATAGACTCAAGAAATAACGTGTACAAGTATTTTCAACACCAAGAACACTCCTAATAATGGATAATGTATACAATAATAAGACTGCCAATAATAGATTCTCAAGAGAATTGACTTCAGATGCAAAAGAGAGCAATTAAATAGTAGAATAAGTAGATGACTTGCTCTGCCTAAGCAAAACGAACTCCTTTAATTTTCATTGCACCTGAGAGACATGCCAAGAAGCTGGATCTGTATAGATATCAAATTTATCATCAGTTTCAAAGACTCCAATAAGAGGTCTCAAATAGTTACTCTAAAGGAAAATACAATATTTCATCCAACTAATAACATCATAGAAGTAGATAAAGAACTCCGTCAATTATAGGGAAATTGTAAAACTCTACGGTAACAAGGAAGTTCCAACAAAAACCTTATAAAAACCCCTGTTAAGGAACCCACTATCTCTTTCTACCGCCACACTCTCTCAAAGAAAGGGCAAGTGTTTCTCCAGCTCCAACATTATAATATGCCAGTGACATATTGTCCTTAAGAAAATATGCCAGTGACATATTGTCCTTAAGAAAACCAGCTTTTCCACTCAATTTCTGTATGTTTGCAGGAAGTTGGATCTCCCCAGAAATTTTCTCCTTCAAGCTGGCAACAGTTTCAGGTAAAGACTGCAATGTAATCTCTAGGATTTGCCGTAATTTTTCCGTTATGGACTACGGCGAGTGGTGGTGGTGTTAGAGGACAGACAGCGGTGGTGGTAGAGGCTCGAAAAGTGTGGGTCTTGTAAAGGATAGAGCGTTGGTGGAAGAGGCAGACCAAATGACTACTACAAGTGGTGGTGAAAGACGATAGCCCGCGGTGCTGGTGGTGGGGTGGTGGTGGTGGTGTAAGACGATAGCTTGCAGTGCTAGTGGTAGGGTAGTGGTGGTGGGAGAGCAATTTCAATTTTGGGAGAGATTTGATTTAGGGGAATGAGTGAAATTTGATTTAGGAGAAGGTGTGAAATTTTTGAGAGAGATTTTTGATTTGGAGGGAATTAATTTTTTTTTTTTTTAAGTTTTTGGGCATGAATCTGACGTGTGGCATATGCCACGTATACTAACACGTCAGTCAGGATATGTTAGTCGGTATTTCAGTCGGTCAATGTAGTCTTACTGTTGCAATAGTAATGTTTGTGGCAAAATATAATTAAGTACGTAAATGATGTGATAACAAAGAATAACAACACATGGATTATTTAACATGATTAAGGCTTGAAGTCAAATTCCAGTGTTTAGTTTGACTTTATTTGACCTTTTTTTTTTTTCTTTTTCTATTTTATCTCTGTATTTTTAGAATGACAAAAAATCACATTAGAAGAGAGGAAATTATTATTCCCTTAACAAAAAGAAATCAATATCCTGACATAATGAGATTAAGATTTGGAATTATATTGAGCAAGAATATTGCTAAATACAATTTCTCATAATTAAGAAATTACTTGTTACATATTCCACATAGCACAAATATTATACAGCATGATGTCTTCTTCACTTGTCAGCTTCCAATTCCATAGTTGAAGAATTTCAGTCTCAAGCTAAAGTTTATGGCCTTCCAGTTTTTGACACTGCACAACACAAAAGATTCTTTAACTCACCTCACCCTCAAAATTGGACTTCATTAACTGATTTAAAATTACATAAAAGCTTACGTGGATGAGTCTGGATCGCACTTAATCTGGCACTTGCGGTCACAACGCTGCATAAGCCTTGCTGCAAACAACAAGGGAAAAGGTTTTAGTTCAGATCTTAATTTTACAAAAAAAATAGATAATAAAAGCCTTAAAACTTACAGTCTTTTTTAACACAGGCAGTGGAACAAGCGTCGCAGCGGAGGGTTGGACAGTCTCAAAATGGGAAAAGATGAAACAGGCCCGGCGCCCCTGCCTAGGGCCCCCAAAAAAGTGGGTAAAATAGGGGGCCTAAAATTATTTTTTAAAGTATTTTTTAATATATTTATAATTTTTCAATTCTCATCCATCCCACCATGTACTCGCCTATGCCTATCTCTATCCAAAATTATTTTTTTAAGAGTTTTTTAATATATTTATAATTTCTCAATTTCCATCAATCCCACCATATGTCCAATCAGTCATGCCCATCTCCATCTCTAAACTTGAAACACAATTGGCGGCTCATTTTTCTGTTGAAAATTGAAACGGCTTCACGCAACTCTCTAACTCTCAAATATCAAATCACATCTCCTCTCTCCCCCAAATCTGAATGACAATCTCTTATATAAACCTCATTTCACTTAAAGTTTTCTCATCTTTACTCTTATTATTCTCAACTCAGTTTACTCTCTTGTCTCTCCTTTCTCATCTCTATTACGTAAATTTATTAAGTGAATGCGATTTACATTATTATTTTTATGCAAGGTAATATTAAGAGCTTTAAATTATTTTACTCTTAGCATTCTCAACTGATTTTACTTTATATTTGATCAAGTGAATAAGTGATTTACATTATTATTTTTATGTAGGGTAATAATATAAGATTTTTTAGTATTAGCACAGCAAAAAGCAAAATCAGAAGCATAAATCAGGTGCTAAAGTTCCTTCTTAATTTTTTAAATTATTTTTATTTTAGCAAAATAATATTAAGAGTTCTAAATTATTTATTCTTTGACTATAGATGTCTACTAGGAAGTGTGAATCTGGATTTGAAAAACGTAAGAAAAAAAAAGGAATAAAAGAACTAATTCAATCCCAAAAAGATGCACTTGATATTAATATAAAACACCAAATGCTAGAAAAACCAAATAAAGATTTAAATGAAAAATCAATTGAAAACTATGAAGAAATTTTTAAAGTTAACAATTCAAATTCATCAAATACTAGTGAAGAGTATCATGAAAATTTAGAAGAAGAAATTTCATTCGACAAAAATGAAAATATTAATGATAAAGATATATTAATGATAAAGATGAAACAACTATTAAAAATATTTATGATCCGGTACACTGGAATAATTTAGACACAAACTTATGTGATTTATTAGTTGAGAAAGGTCCAATTAGACAAGTTTTAGATTTTCCAAGAGATGAAAATTCTAGACGCTTTTCTACAATTAATTACATTCGAAAATTACCAAATGGAGAAAAACATGATAGAAAATGTTAGTATATTCAAAAGAATTAAATAAAGTATTATGGTTTTGTTGTAAATTATTTAGTTTAAAAGCAAATACAATTCAATTAGCAAATGAAGGGTGTGGAGATTGGAAAAATCTTAGTGCCAAGCTTAAAAGTCACGAAACAAGCAATTAACATGCTATAAATATGAACATTTGGGTTGATGTTGAGATGAGATTGCTTAAAAACAAAACAATTGATAAATATTTACAAGAGAAAATAAATAAAGAGATAGAGCATTGGAAGAATGTACTATTAAGAATTATAGCGGTTGTAAAAAATCTTTCAAAAAATAATTTGGCATTTCGTGGTACAAATGAGAAGATTTACCAAGAAAATAATGGAAATTTTTTTATTTTAATTGAAATGATTGCTGGGTTTGATCCAATAATGCAAGAACACCTTAGACGTATTCAAAATGGAGAAATTCATACTCATTATCTTGGTCATAATATACAAAATGAGTTGATAAATATTTTAGCATAAATATTTTAGCATTAGAAATAAGAAATACCATTATTAAAAAAATCAAAGAATCAAAATATTTTTCAATTATACTTGATTGTACCCCAGATACAAGTCATCAAGAACAAATGTCACTTATATTAAGATGTGTAGATATTTCAATAAGTCCAATAAAAATAGAAGAGTACTTTATATATTTTATAAAAGTGGATGATACTTCTAGTCAAGGCCTTTTTAATGTTCTTACAAGTATATTAAAAAATCTTGAACTTGATGTAAATAATGTGAGAGGACAAGGATATGATAATGGGTCTAATATGAAAGGTAAACATCAAGGTGTGCAAAAAAGATTATTAGATATAAATTCTAGAGCATTTTATACACCTTGTGGTTGTCACAATCTTAATTTAGTTATTTGTGATATGGCTAATTCATGTGCTAATGCTGTTACATTTTTTGGAGTGACACAACGTATATACTCATTATTTTCTTCTTCTACAAAACGATGGAAAATTTTGTAAGATCATGTTTCTAATTTGACACTTAAGCCATTATCACAAACACATTGGGAATGTTGTGTTGAAAGTGTTAAAGCAATAAAATTTCAAGCTCCACAAATAAGAGATGCTTTATATCAATTACTAGAAACTGGTGAAGATCCTAAAACAAAAAGTGAAGCTATTTCTTTAGTAACATATGAGATAGAAAATTTTGAATTTCTATTAGGCATGAATATTTGGTATGAAATGTTATTTGTTGTTAATACGGTTAGTAAATATTTACAATCTAAAAATATGGACATTGTTGTTACAATAGATTAGTTGAAAGGTCTTGTTTCATTTTTCGAAAAATATAGAGAAAATGGGTTTACATCTTCTATGATTTCTGCTAAAGAGATTGCAGAGCAAATGAATATAGAACCAAAATTTCATGAAAAAGTACAGTAAAGAGAAAAAAAAAACAATTTGATGAGAATGAAAATGAAGAGATGAAATTGTCTACTGAAGAATCTTTTAGAATAAATTATTTCACATATTTAGTTGATCATACCATTTCCTCACTTTAAAGTAGGTTTGAACAATTTGAAATATATAGTAATAATTTTGTTTTCATTTATAATATAGAAAAGTTCAAATTGCTTGATGATGATAATTCATAGAAACATTGTTTAAATCTTGAAAACTTTTTAAAACATGACATGCTCTTTGATATTGATGGTTTAGATTTATATTCAAAATTAAAAGTTTTAAAAGAAATTATAAACGTGAAAATTAAAACACCACTTGAGATACTAGATTTAAAAAAAAAAAAAGTGAATTCTTTTCCAAATGCATGGATAGCTTATAGAATACTGTTAACTATTCATGCTACTGTAGCTTCAGCAGAAAGAAGTTTTTCAAAATTAAAGTTAATAAAATCTTATTTGCGTTCAACTATGTCACAAGAAAGATTAGGTAATTTGGCTATATTATCAATTGAAAAAGATTTGGTTTCCAAACTTGAATATACAAATTTAATTAGTGATTTTGCATCTCAAAAGACAAGAAAAATAAATTTGAAATAATTTTTTAATATATGCTTATATTATTAGAAGGCCCTTAAAGTAACTCTTGCCTATGGTCACAAATGTTCTTGAGATGGCCCTGAGATGAAAACAATAATCATCACTGCAACTATTATCTTCTTCATTGTTATTGTGTAAGCTTCTTTTCTCTCTCTCTCTCTCTCTCTCTCTCTCTCTCTCTCTCTCTCTCTCTCTCTCTCTCTCTCTCTCCTTTATTTCTATTTATAGAGAAATTAAAAGCTTCAAGTGGGTTTTTGAAGGAGTAAGAGCCACAGCCACATGGTCACTTGCAAGTTTTCGAGGGAATCAGCCGACCATATCACCGTATTTAATTGACCGACTGACCCT